TATATATAATAATAATAATAATAATAATAATAATAATAATAATAATAATAATTTAGTATAAAACTTGGTGGTGCAAAGTTCATTTCAAAACATATGCTAACAAGTTATGTAAATATAAAATAAAGAGAAATACTAGCAACATTCACTCTATATTCTTTCTAATATTTTTCTTATTATTAGTTGAAAATTATATATTTTTGGTAAATCTTACCCCTAAGAGTATGCTGAGAACAATCTCGCAAAATTATATAAATAATAAAAAGCGCACCAAACATGTCTAATTGATGCAGAAACTACATTTTATTGGTTTTGTTGAATGCGAAGGAAGAATAATGACTGTGTTGCATATTTAATTTTAAACTCAATACGAAATTAAGATAAAGAGAAATACGAAATCTATAAAAGTGGTAATTTAATATATTTCAAAATATTATAAAGAGTGTTAATTAATTAGTGAGTGTTGGCTGAAATGAAAAGGGAAAATAAATAAAAGTTTGGCAAAAACCAGGTGGGAGTCAGGTGTCAGATGTATACAACTTTTCTTGATCATACATGTTATAGATCGTTTCTATTATAATTAAAGACATGCACGGATTGGTTAACGAACTTCTAATATATTTTTTAACTTGTAATTAAAGATATGTAATTATCTGTGTTCACTTACTCATCTATTATTAATTAAAATTTACTTGTTATTATAAGTATGTTATGGAATTAAAATTTAACTTGAAAGCTGCGGTTCCAATTCCCACTAGAAAATTGTAGGATGGATGATAGTGTTCAATAAACAGTGACCAAATTGCTTGTGCAAAAAACTGGTCACTGGAATTGCAATGAATAAATCTTACAAAAACGGACGCAGATTTTTCCGTACCCGCCAAATGCCAATATATGTTTGGGAATAATTGCATGGTTGCAACATGCAACTAAGTTGAGCGATGAAGAGCGCGGCAAGGCATGCATGAGTGAAGGAAAGGGAACAGATAAAAATGCATGGGAGAGCTGAGAAAATAACCCTCTCCCTGTTTTAACTCACGAGGGCACGTAATTGACGCAAGATCATAAACGTGAGACGCGTAATGTTTATAATAGAGGTTGTGTCTATGTGTCTATGTGGAAACATCTCTAAGGAATACTTCACGGGAAAGCAACCTACAGCATTTATTACGCCTTTTGTTTTCTCAGGACTCTTGGTCTTACTTTGGCACGTATAAATACAGAAGACTTTGATTCGTATGGCCAAAGGAACTTACTAGCTGAAAACAAAGAGAGAGAGAATAGCAAAGACTCAACCATAGTTATCCAGAACCAAATCATGTCTCACATAGCTGTCGAGAGGAACAGGAGAAGACAGATGAATGAACATCTCAAAGTTTTAAGGTCGTTGACCCCATGTTTCTATATCAAAAGGGTATTTTCTCCCTCAATCTTTCTTTTCTTATTCCTCTTCATAATCTTTGTTAGTGTATTTTTTTTTCTCTAACAATACTGTTATCTTACTTTGTCAATAATTAATTTTTACTAAAAACTTAATCAATTATTTTTAGTAAAATTTTTCTTTTAATTATATATTTTTTTTATCTGTGAGACTCAAATTTAATATTTTGTTTATGAAAATCGAATTCAGTTTCATATGTTATAATCTGATGTGTGATAGTTGTTGAGATTGCTTTTGTTTTTGTTCCTTGTATTTTAGGGGGACCAAGCATCTATAATAGGAGGTGTTATAGAATTCATCAAGGAGTTACACCAAGTTCTTCAAGCTTTGGAGTCTCAGAAAAGAAGAAAGAGTTTAAGCCCTAGCCCTGGTCCGAGTCCACGGACACTGCAGACACCTTTTCATCAACTTGATAGCTCCTCCATCCTTGGGAATAATTCTTTCAAGGAACTAGGAGCAAGCTGCAACTCTTCTGTTGCTGATGTTGAAGTGAAAATCTCGGGTTCAAATGTGATCTTGAAAGTCATTTCCCACAGAATTCCTGGTCAAGTTGCAAAGATCATATCTGTTTTGGAAAGTCTTTCATTTGAAGTTCTTCATCTAAACATCAGCAGCATGGAGGAGACTGTCCTTTACCAATTTGTGGTCAAGGTGAAACGCATAACTATTTTTGTGATTATTGTTTCATAAATTCGTATTTGAATTGCCACTGACTTTAATTTTATTTGAGCTATATAAGTATATATTTACATAAACACACACAAGAATAATCAATTTATCATTCTCATAACAATTGGAATTTATAGCCTATAGTTCAATTAGGGTTTTAAACCATTTCGATGAATCAAACACAATCACACAAATTTCTAAGAAATTGGTGGGTCTAACCACTTTCGATATCTAAAGCTACACACACAAAGTACAAGTAAAAAAAAAAAAGGAGGGTGTGAGTTCACTAACAACTAACGATTAACAATTAACATTTGTCTATCAAAAAAAAAAAAAAAAATACAAGTCAAAGGATATGATATATGTTACTAGCTAGATTGAAGGTATCCTGTTGTCTTTGATATGATCAACAACACAACCTACGTGAAATAAAGTCAGAAAAAAGGAACTTCTAAGTTCTAAGCAAAGTAATATTGGATATGCTTTTTATCAAATAAGAGTTGCCATCATCTTAGCTTTGTATTTGATTAAAAGAAAATATATGTATTTAATTTACAATTTTTTTCTTTAGGTCGTTATTACATTCCTCATGTAGTTCTTTTATTTGATTATTTTTACTACTACAGATAGAGCTGGGATGTCAACTAAGTCTGGAGGAACTAGCTATGGAAGTGCAACAAAGCTTCTGCTCAGAGGCTATAATTGCGCTGTGAAGATGTAGCATTTCAGAAGACACCTAATTTCATATCGTATTTTTGTTAATAAAATATAAGCATGTGATAGACATGCACAAAAAAAAATTTCTTCATTTACTACAAACTAGGTTTTATTTGCTGCATTACTACAAACTAGGTTTATTATATCATAACTGTTGTCATAAACTTTATGACATGGAAAATATCCTGTTTCTTTGTTTCTTAATATTGAGTTAGATACATCACACATGCATTATATATAGTTTTTTCATGGATATTATTCACACAATATTTTAAAATTGACAATTAAAAATTAATCTACATTCACGTTATTTTTATTAATCAAATATTATTTTTAACTTGAACAAAAATTAACCTAAAACCACTAAATCGACCTCCGTCGTACATTATATTTGCCTATTCAGTAAATGGTTCTAAATGCTGTCATTCATTATTGATGCGAACAGAAGGCAATTAAGCATGCTTGTTTGGCTCATGGTGAACCTATTAGAGGGCTAACATCAACCTTTTGTATTACATGTTTTTATACGTCCATATTCATGAGACCAATTCTCGTTAGGTTAATCTAACTGTCCCTCTCCGCAAATATTTTATCAGGGTTTATTATATGTGATTCGGTGGTATTTCTTTATTTATAACATTATATAAAGAGATACACTTACTGTTCATTTTTTTAAAAGATAATTATACTCTTATTTTATATTTAAAAAATAGTTTTTTTTAAAAATATTGCTCACTTTATTAAAAGTAATTATCCATTTTTTTCACGGAGACATGTAGTGCTTTTTTTTGCTACTAGTTATAAATAAAAACAATTGATTTCTCACATTTTTATTATATTTTATTAATCTCATAATATTCTTTTAAAAGGGAGAATCTGTTTATTCTAAGAGTAAGTCTATTTTCACTTATTTCACTCAATAATTCATATTCTATGTTAAATTTGAATTTATGAAATAAAGTATCCAATAGTCTTCAATTTAATGATTGAATTGTTAAAATTTGATATAAAATATGAGTTATTGAATAAAATAAGTGTAAGTACTCTTAAAGTGAGTGGATCACTCATTTTCTTTCTATATTGTCCTTGTTATAAATGTTGAAAGAAGCAATACAAATAAAGGTCATGCATTAAAAGAATATTTTAAATAGAGTATTATTAAATAAGACAAAATTAGTAAAAAAAATTTATATTTAAAAGAAAAAAAAATTGTATTTTTTTTTACTTATAATAAAAAGTAGAGAGGGTATCTATTTACACTTCACTCCTCTCATTTTATAAGTTTTTTGTTTTTGCCTTTATTTAAGCTTTTCTTTAAATAAAGTCATCATCAACATCTTTATTTATTCTTTAGTTTTTAAGTTTTATTTTATTTTTCTTATTTAAAATTTTAAATAGAAATCAAAAGTATTTAACTTTACTTACATATTGTATAAAATACTTAAAATGGTAATACAAGTGATGTTCATTTTCTCAAAATTATGGAATTAGAGTTTTGACAAAATAATTTTTTTTAATAACAAGTCTAGTAAATAAATATTATATTTAATGGTAATACTATAAAAATTAAATTCAATTATTTTTAATTTTAAAATAAAATAACAAGATACAAACGTATTAAAATATTTTTTTTTTTAAGTAAACATATTAAAATTTAGAAATAACTAACTAAAAAGGCAAGAAAAAGAGACCAGAAAAACCTATGGCCCTATTTATAAATAAACTAGGCTACATTTTTCATAATGCCTATTTGGTTAAAAAAAAACTAAACTTTAGATCATTTAAAAAGATTTTTAGGCATAATATGTAAACATTTATTTACTAAATATAAATAATAACTTTTTATTAATATTATCATAATATAATATTTTTATAATGTATTAAAATTGTATTTAATTTATTAAACAATAATTATGCTGACTTACATAATATTTTAAGTTTATTAAAATGAATAAACTTATGCTTTGATTAGAGGCTTTATTTCAAAATAAGATTTTAAATAAGTTATCATTTAAATAGGTTAGACTTATAAAATCTAGCCTACCTTGTACCCCAATCTCATATCTTGAGTAGTTTTAATTTTCAGATTTTATTTGTTTATTTTACATATAAAAAAAATCATTGAGCTATTAGTTAATTAGTCTATTTAGCGATAGATCCAAGTCTATCTAACAAATTTAATATGAAATTGGCATTTAAGTAGGTTAACAAGTCAAATCAAACTTTCAAAAAGTTAGATTAATTTATAAAAAAAAAAACTTATCATAAATAATAAGTCAGAGTTGAGATCATGAGGTAAAATTATAGGTAAAAGAATTTGAGTACAAGAGGTATGTTGGTATCCTCTACACATTATAGAATACCTTCACGAATTAGGCTCATCCAATGTTGAGTTATTTACATTGAGAATATTTATTGGGCTTTATTTTCTTTGGGCCCTACATGTTAACTTCAATATGTCTAAATCGGTTACATGAGAACATTGTCCCATAACAAAGTTGTTAAAGTTTTTATTTGTTTAAAAAATATAGTTTTAAATTTTAAATTTTTTTACAAACATACACCGTTCAACCACTTTTTTTTTTCTTTCAAAAGCTAAACACTTTTTATAAACAATAATCAAACAAGTCCTAAGAAAATCACAACTGCTCCCTGTAATGGCGCTGGATCTTTTGGAATTTAATTACTACAAAAATGTCTAATGATGATTACCTAGGACCTTGCCATCGTTGTGTTAATTTTTTAATTAAAAAGGAAAATGGAAATATGAGAAAAATAAGCTTTGCGAACAATTAATAATAATTAGTGCTATAGCTATCATTAATTAGCTTAATAAATCGGCACTTGTTAAAGTCTTCGTAACTCAAATGTGATAATTTTGTTGGTGGTTGAACCGCTACATGCTATCATAAATTTAATATAAAAATATTATAGAAAAGAAACAACCATGATAAGTGATAACACCGTTTTATACATTTTAAATCAATTATTTTATCTTTACAATAGATTTTTTTTTTGTTACAGGAAAAAAGATTGAATTTGTGTTGAGAAATTTACAAGGGATGAAAACTCCTAATGAGAAGTATTTGTCATGAAAAATTAGAAAAATAATGTAGAATCTTTAATATAAATATTTTTTAAGACATTATTTTCATAAATTGCTCTATTTTTTACATCCTAATCTAAAACTACTATTATCATAAGGCTATTAAAAGAACAATACACTTTTTTAATTTAATTCGGATCCATATATCTTGGAAAAGTAAATATATCATACATATAAAAAAAATCGTAATTCAATACTCAATAGCATGCAGCGCGCGTCCTCAATCTTTGAACTAAGAGATTAGAGGTAATAGAAATTATAGATGTAATTTTAAATAATACAAGTATACTAACAAGTTAACAATAATTTCAGTTGGTAAATATTTTGTACTAATAATATAGTTAATAAAAATATAAAATTATTAGTTTTTTAAATTATTTTTACTTTCCGCAACAGAGTCCGACACTAACGTAATTTAACGTGTAAATCAGTAAATATTTATAGGTAAATGGGCTCCATAACATGCTTGGGTTGGGGATCTTGATCTACCGATATTGGGGTCAATTTATGGGCCTGAAATAAGCTGGATCACTATTGTTTCCAAGTCCAAACACTAAAGCAAAAGTGTTTGGAGCATGGTTGAGTGTTGAAATTTGAAAGTGAATAATCCTTAATGAGAAACAAAATAAAAAGAGAGAAGATACAAAGAAAGAATCTGAGTCTTAGTAGAAAAAAATACGAGAAAATGATATTTTTTAATATAATAATATGAAGAAAAAATTGTGAAAGAAGAAAAAGTATGCTTTTCTTGAGTAGACAATTATATTTTCATTCACAAGAATGAATTGTAAATGGAGTAAAGGATATTTCAAGAGAGATTTAAAAATTTACTTCTCCCACCCTTTTTCTCCATGTCAGAAACTAAAATAGTTAATGAAAAAAACTTTGTTAGATTCTTTAAACAAAGTTTTGAGTTTGAATCTTATATATATGAAAAACACATAGTTGGAGAGGGAGACTCCACTAAAAATGATTAGTCAAATTCTTTAACAAAATTTTGTCAAAATTAATAAATACTTTATACTAATAATATACTTATATTTTTTTTATTTAAGTAATAATTTTTTGATACTTAATATAATAAAAGTTATAAAACACATAATAATTTTTTCTCTATTTCTATTCTATTGTCATACGTATTATCATATCAATCATTTATCTTTTCATTTTTTTCTATCTTCTTAAGTGTCTAAATATCTTTTAGTTTTTTTTTTTCTCCGGTACAATTAGGAAAAGCCTTTTCTTCCTCTCCCATTTCATTTTCCCAATTTCACCTTATCCAAACAAAGTTATTTTATTAGGTGTAGAATTTAGCTGAGTTCAAGCAGGCTAATAAAAAGAAGTAAGTTCTTGAAGGTGATCATATGAATAAGTTTGAGTCAAAGTGGATTTATTTTCGAAATTGAAACTCAGCTAACTTCCAATTCACGAATTAATCAAGGTGGATGAGACTGTCTCAAGTCGTAGTACACTGAATAGTTTTTTTTCTTTAATTTATATATATTTAATTGAGAAGCATGTCTTGGTTGTAGCGTTGTTTTAAGTAATAATTTGTCATTGAAATCTCAGCCACTTTATTCCAAACCCCACTTGTGACAGCATAGAACAAGCCAAACATGGTTTGACAATTTATTACCATGGTTTGACAAACATGGTTTAAAAAGTGAGTGAAGTTGTCTTGGTGTTTAGTTTGTACCGATTAAACTATAATTAGATTAAGCATATTTCATCATGACATGTGTATGGCAATTGGCAACGTCATGGTCATAGGCATAGTAGGATTAGGACCATTTGATCAAGTGATAGTAAATCCAATCCAACACCAAAACCTTTGGGACCACTGAAATCACTCTAGTGGTGGTGTTAGGTTAGCTTAGATAGCTTTCAAAGTTTTAGAACCCAATAATAAACATTTTACATCATTCCATTTCTGAGTCACCCAGTTATCACATTCTCACACCACTCTTCATTCCCAATTTCCAAGGGGACAAAAAACACGACCACATACATATATAGAATTAATGTTTGTGCAACACCGTAATTAATTTTTTATTTTTTTTTATAACAAAGTTCAATATGTATATACATTATCGAGAATTGAACTTTTATCACAATACTTAAACAATTCAG